GGGGGGGGGGGGGGGGGGGGCGCGCGCGCGCTCGCGCCGTGCATGCACATATTAGCGAGCCGCGTGCGCCCACGCGGGAGGAAGGGACCAGCAGAAAGGCTATGTGGCGCTCGCCTTACTGCGCCGCCTTTTTTTATTGCACCTCGCAGGCAAGCAGGATTTCAACATGGCCGAGGATGTGTGCTGCAACGGGTGCGGCGTGCGCCGCAAACAGGACGCATGCGACCTGATCCACGGTGGCTACTGGCCCATGACCCCCAAACAGCCCACGACGTATCTTTGCGTGCGCATGATGGAGGCTTGGGGTGCGTGGGAGACGACCGCTCCTCAGCTTGCAGCTGGCGCCTTTCCACGCGGCATCAACGGGCTGTCGAAGCGGTTTGGCGGCGACGGCAGCTTGAAGGTGGGTGGTTGGGTTGTTTGATGGGTGAGTGTTGGGTGTGATGCGCAGTGTGGGGGTCAGGGGCTTAGTGCGGAAGAGGGGTGGGGGTGGCTGGGTTTGGAGGTTGGGGCGCCATGGCTGTTTTTGCCCACAACTCATTTATACTCACAAAGCAACCAAACTCATGCCCAATCAAACCAGGACGAGGTGGTCAAATCCACATGGTTTCGCGAGGCGCTCAGCCAGTGGCGCCGCGCACAGCAGGACATCAGCTACCACATTCAGGACATCGACGATGCCCAGTGCCGGGCATGTGGCCAGCGGCCTCACTCGGTACACGTGAATGGCAACATGAAGCTGGGCACCAACGAGCTTAAGCGCCAGCCGGGAAACTGGCTGCCCATCATCAGCGGTGACCGGGAATACGCCAACACGCCTGCGGTACTGCAGCACCTGCAGTGGCTGGACCTGGCCCTGGGGAAGGTGCGCGGGATCAACAGGGGATCAAAAGGGCGTGCGGCTTAGTGCAAGCTTGATCTGCTGCTCTTTGCACCACCCTCAAACCATCAATTGGATGCAATTTCTCGCAGGACGCGGCGGACCGCCGCTGCAGGGGCCTGTGGGCGGCAGCGGGTGACAGCATGGCCAACCCTGGCGGCCATTTTGTCACGGGGTGTGTTTACGGTGAGGTGTCTCGCGCGCCCCACCTTCAGGGGCTTGTGCCGTCCGCTGAGCAGATGTTGCACATTGCAGCACAACTCTGACCTCCACCCCGCCCCCCTCCTGCGATTTGCAATAACAGGGGTGTGCCGCCACACGTGCGCGCTGTGTGCCGCCAACATGGTACAGTCAGGCGAGCGGTATGGTTACATCCACTACCTGCTGCTGCACAAGCTGTGGCCCAGCGGCGTGGACTTTGTGTTCTGGGACATCGCCTGCAAGGGCAAGCCGTGCGCTGACCAGGCCAACCGCGTCATCATGGCGAGCATGTCTCCCAGGCGCTGTCCTTGGAGGTCCGGCAGGTGTATGACGCCGCGACGCGCACGGCGATCATCCTACCGCACGCGCATGCGCAGCTGCACCGGTGGACGTGCAAGGTGAGGCAAAGTGCGCGCCAAGACGATCGGGCGATTGGGGATCTGCGGCACATGGGTAGGGGTCTGCAGCGGGCCGCACGAGCAAGCAGTGGTGAGACAGTGGCGAGCATGCACTCCTGCGCGTGCCATGACTGCGCTCAACCACACATACGCCACAGATCCTACACGGCCCCCTGTGGACGTTGGGTGCTGGGGCGGGCACGGGCGAGGACGGCGAGCACTACTTTGCCATGGAGTCCCGCCGTAAGCAGGTCGTCAACAGCGTGACAGCGGAGAGCAGCACAGACCTGCTGCAGCAGACGCTCTTTGTGCACAACCGAGGACACAACGAGCACATGGCCGAGGACCTGAGGAAGAGGTGCGGAGCACGGCTGCTGGGTTTCCACGTGATTCCTTGCGCACACGAGATGCTTTTGGGGGGGGGGGCGGTGTGCATGCAATGCACCACCCTTGAGGGCAACGGTGGTGCTCTTTCAACTGCCCTCCCCCCTGGCTGGCCCCACCCTAGGCTGCGGCGCACCGCAGCCGCCCACGACGAGGCCAGGGCAAGCCTTCGGATCATCACGTCCTCAGACCCATCAAGCAGCGCCTAGGCAACATGGCGTCCGATGCAGGTGAGGATACGGTCATCGCGCCCGTGGCCGACGCAGTCAAGGCAGCAGCGCAACGTGGGTGGCAGGCAGGGCGCCATGCCAGTGGTGCTGGGTGATCTGCATGCAGGTGGTGGCGTGGTTTCCGGAGCCAGCGTGCTGTTGGTGAGCCACATCCCCACTATGGCAATCCGCACACTGCAGGAATCCAAGAGCGGGGGGACCACAAGGGGATGAGCACAGTCGCCGAGTTCGCTAAGACGCACTACGAGCTGCAGACCGCGCAAGCTGCCCGCAACTTCCAGCTGGTGACGTGCGCTCCCTCGGACGGTAGCAACGCCCTGCAGCACATGACCCCTGAGGCGGCTGCCGCCCTCTGTGGCCAGGATGTGGCGGAAGTCATGGCTGTCATGCAGCGTGCGGCTGATTCTGTCGAGGGCCTCCAGCGGCGGTGAGCCAGGGTTGTTTGGGGGGGGGTGAGCATATGTTGACTGTATTCGGCTGATGTATATTGATGCACTTAGTGTCTGGTTGTGTGTGTGTGTGTGTGTGTGTGTGTGTGTGTGTGTGCGCGCGCGTGTGTGTGCGTATGTGTGTGTGTGCGTGTGTATGTGTGTGTGTGTGTGTGTGTGTGCGCGTGTGTGCTCACGCGCGTGCGCATGCGCAGGCACGCTGCATGTGTGCATGCATGTGCGCGCGCGCACGCCCTGCATCTCAGCAACGCAGCATGTGCACTCGCCAACCGCAGGCATACAGACCTTTCTGCCAAGCTGCACGCCAATGGCTTGTGGCGATTGGAACCCAGCGGGGCTGAGGGTCACCTGGGGGACGGCGTGCGGGAGCTGATTGACCGCCACGTCATCATGCAGCAGCAGGAGATCGAGGGGTGGTCCTGAGTATCACGGACTTCACGGGCCGGCTCGCCAACAGCGTTGGTGAGAATGGTCAACGACGAGGGGATCGGTATCGGATGGGCCGCATGGCGGCCAGTCGCGCATACGTGCACGCATGCGCAGCTACAATGCAATCCGCTCAAAGCCTCCCCCCGGCCCCCCCTCCTCCCACCTCCCTCCTCCTCAATGTGATGCCGCAGACACTGCAAAGCGCAAGACCAAGTTCAAGCAGCAGCTGACCAGTTACAAGAAGAAGCTGGAATCTGTAGTAGAGTCTTACAACAAGCTGTGCGCTTCGGGCACTTTCCTGCGCAGGCCGGCGGACAGCGCGGCAATCATCGCCGCAGCCGGGGCGTGCATCACGCGCGTGCACCAGCAGCCCGCCACGAGCAGCGCCTGCCGGCCCTCCGCGGGCAGTGCCACCGGCGCGCCGCCGCAGCCGCCGGGCAGCGAGTTCCCCTGGGTGGACGAGTATGGCCCCAACGAGGCACCCGATGCAGCATTCAGGGGGCTGGGGTTCAAGGAGGCGATGCGTGTTGCGGATGCATGGCAGCGGAGGCGGCGGCTGGCAGAAGAGCAAATCCTGCTCAAGCGGGAAATGTACCAAACGCACGCCTCTTGCACCGCCAGCTTGGCCACTGTGCGGGCACGCCGCAGCGCTCTGGCGACCCAGTGCGCCACCCAGCAAGGCGGGGCCACCGGCTCGCCACCAGCTGGTGTGGGCGTGCTGCAGCTCTCCGGCGCAGCTGCGGCGTTGTCTAGTGCTGGTGTGCTTGGCGGCGGCGGCGGCGGCGGCGGCGGCGGCGGCGGCGGCTACCGGCTGGCCCGCGTGACGCAGCTCACGGCACGCGGTATGCTGGCTTTGCTGGCTGAGGCCGAGGTGTACCACCAGCGCCTTGCCGACCAGGCGGGCCACGTGGGCGATGGGATTTTGCGGGAGGGCCGGCGGCTTGCAGCCGTGAGGGAGTAGCAGCAGCGAGAGCATTTTTCACTAGCATTCAAATGTTGCTTTATTATATGAAGACCCAGTGAACAGTGTAACCGTTCGCGCCAACAATGTCTTCCACACCACCCACCTAGCTGCCAGCTGTCCCCAAGACTGCCTTGCCTCCAACTTGAGCTGCACAGACGGTGTAGGGGCAACACATACAACCTCCCAGCAAAGTTTCAGGCCGTTTGGTGAGGGTCAGCTTCAGCCCTGTTCAGAACCTGTGGGCGTTCAAGCGGGGGGCCGTGGGGCGTGCCACACCGCACACCCAGCTGCCAGCTGTCCCCAAGACTGCCTTGCTTCCAAGTTGAGCTGCACAGATGGTGTAGGGGCATCACACACAAGCCCCCAGCAAAGTTTGAGGCTGTTTGGTGAATGGCAGGGGGCGGACGCCCGCAGCAGCGGCGACGCCCCACGCTGGGAGCGGCGCTCAACTTACGCGCGCCATGTGCGGGGGCTTCAAGCGGCACCGCGCTGCGCCGTAAGCGCCTGTCAAGCTTTGCAACGGCGCCGGCGCCGCACCGTGAGCGGCGCTCAACATATGCGCGCCGCGTGTGGGTTTGAGGGCATTTAGCCGTGGCCTATCACTATTTGGTCAATACACAAATGGTGTTACACATCCCTGTAGTCTCTCATGCAGCACACGTGGTTATAAATGTTGGCCGCGCCTCAATCCAGGCCCTGGTCATGGACGTGATGTCCCAGGTCTGAGAGGCCTCAACACAGGTAGGGGCACCGAGTGACATGAGCGGGTACAACCGCGACCTTATTTGTAACTGACCACCACGACACGCGCCGTGGGCGACCTCAGGTCACGAATCGGGACGGTTGAACTCGGACCGATGAACGACGGAAGGGGCTGGCAAAAGTGACGAAGCAGCCAACGGTGCCTGCCCCGACGCAAATAAAAATCGGAAATATGAACCTTGGAACCGTGGGTGCAAGTCCTGCCGACCGCTCCCTGTCAGCACCAGACAGCCAGGCAGGATCACACCGAAATCCCCGACGCACCCGACCACATCACAGCCCAGAGCGGCCCTTCCCCTCCTTCTCCCATCCCCGTACCCCCGCCCCTCCCCCTTTACGACCCTCAAGGACTCCCACCGCACCGGCGAGCCAATCCCTCGCATTGCCGCGCTGCGCCTGGCCCCAAGCGTGGGGCCTTGTATTTCGCCCCCCCCCCCTCCCTCCCTGTGATACGGACGGCGTCTTGCAATGCAAAGGTTCCTACGCTCTCAAGGGAATCGATCAAACCCAAAACATCAGTTTAAGACTGGCTAGAACTTGCGGAAGGCGGGCAAGTTTGCCCTGGGTTGTTCAGCACGCCCCCCTGTCAGCACGGCAAGTTACACACCAGCCATTCATTGCATGCTCCCAAACCAAAACAAGGGGCTACAGGAATCACACACCCACACACACGCCTGCACACAAACTCAAACACACACACACATACACACACACCCCCCACACGGGGGCCCCACGCCAACCCACTCGCACAACGGCAACACGGAGATTCAGCAGGGCCACGAGCAGGGTCTTTCAACTGTCAATATTGCAGGCCATGGTAAAAGGGCGCCACTCCCGCCGCCATGTGCTGCGCCTCCTGCCCTTGCCCCAGCAGCCCTGGCCCCAGCACCTCCAGCAACCCTGGCCCCAGCGGCCCCCCCAGCAAGCGAAGCATCTGCTGCTGCGCTGCCGCCGCTGCCGCCGCCGCTGCCGCCGCCGCTGCCGCCGCCGCTGCCGCCGCCGCTGCCAGAGGCTCGTGCGCCGCCAGCTGGTTGGCAGCGAAGTCGGGCGCGCCCTCCGGCAGGGGGTTGCGCGCGGGTGCCAGGCTGGCGTAGTCAATCGCGCCCCCCTGTGGCGTTGGTGGGCCCGCAAGGTTGGCCAGGTGGCAGTGTGGCATCTTGGAGGCGACGGCTGAATACCAGAGCAGACTACTTGGTGCGCGGCGCATGCACGTGATTGCGGGGCCAGTGCAGCCGGTTGGCCAAACAAGCCAAGGATTGCCCTACAGCCCTGCACCCCGGCCGTGGAACATAGCACTAGCCCCAAAATCCCCGCGCCTCGCCCTGCAGGCCGGGAGGCGCGTTGAGGCACACGGGGCCCGCGCGCACGCGCCCAGCACACAAGCAAACATTCCGCAATGCACAATATGGAAGCCGACCGGCCTCAATGAAGCGCTGCGTCTGGGGCGCGCGCCCGCCTGGGCCTGCGCCACTTGCGTGGCGTGCGCGGGGTGCCCGAGCGCCGGCACCGCGCGCGAGCGCCACCACAGGCAAGGTCGTGGCCGCTTTCTTATAGTAGTGGGCGCCTCGGAGTGTAACCCAAGCTCGCAAACGCCTCGTGCAAGCAAGGCTACAGAACTAGCAGCTGCCAACTCACCAGGTACTGCTGCTGCAGCTGCTGCCACTGCACATCCTGGGACGACTGCTGCTGCTGCTGCTGCTGCTGCACCACCTGGAGCATCTGCTGCTGCTGCTGCTGCATTGCCGCAGCCGCCTGCGAGTCCTGCGTCGTTGGTGGGGCCGTAGGGTTGGCAAGGTGGCATGTTGGGGCAATGTTGTAAACCACAGCAAAACGTTTGATGCGCGCCTGTTGGTCATGAGCACGGGCCCAGTGCCGCCGGGTGGCAAGAACACATGCCATGTCAACTGCAAACCGTGACCAAGGATCACCCCAGCCGCGGCCCCTAGCACTGAGCGGCAGTGAAAGCCGGGCGCAGTGGGGTCCGACGACTCTCGCAAGCAACCACGCGCCCAGTGCAAGACAAGCAGCTCCTGACTCACCTGATGCTGCTGCTGTACCAGCTGCTGCTGCCCTGCTGCAACAGCTGGCTGCTGCACCGCCAGCAGGTTGGCGTTGTCGGCGCCCCCCAGTACAAGCTCCTGCAGCGTGGATGGGGCCGGATGGAGGCAAGGTTGCATGTAGCAGCACAGAATGCGAATGGGGATGTGCTCAAGGCAGCCGCCCCCGCACAGCAACACATAAATCTGAAGTCACGCCATGTTCATCGCCGACCATGCTCATTAGCCAAGTGTGGACCTCAACATCCCAACCTAGCCTACCGGTTGTCCGTGCTGCACCAGATGCGATGGAGCAGGGCCTGGCAGCTGCAGCGCCGCGCCGCCCTCTGCATGCGCCGCAAGCGCGTCGACGATGGCGTTGGCATGGATGATGCCCACACCATCCACTTTGGCCAGGGCCTTGCGCACCTGCTCCGCACCGTCTAGCTGCAGCGTGCGGAGCAGGGCCGTGGGAGTGTAGTTTTGCGCCATCAGCGCCTGCTTGGCCACCTCGCTGAGCGCCACCCCAGCCCAGACGCCCCAATCCGGCAGCTCCGGCAGCCGTTCCGGCTGCGCGCCCTGGAACGCCGCACCGCCGCCTGCAGCGCCGCGGCCCACGTCCTCCCCCAAACCCTTGGTGCGGTGCCCCATGACGCGCTCCTTGATGACTGTGGCGGAGGCCAGGAACTTGGCCATGTACGCAGAGTTGACGCCGATCACGGACACGTAGCTGTATGGCGAGTCGCCCTGGACATCGATGGGCTGGGCCAGGGCCATCACACCCCTCGTCACCAACTGCTCGGCAGAGTAGGGCTGCTTGTGGTGCTTCATGCGCTTGGACACCACGCCTCCGCCTACCACGGTGAGCTCAAGCCCGTCCTGGCGCATCTGCATGATAAACTGAGGAATTGCCCAATGGCGGCGGCAAAGGGAGAGGCCACATTCCAGGTGTTCCCACAAAGCTCAAGGGAAGCCCACCACCATTTGCGGCCATGAGGGGCGTGCGCGCAGTTCTGCTGCATGCGGCTGATCGCCGCCACGACAGTGGCACCCCACTACCCACCGCGCTGCTTTTGCGCAGCACAGCTGTGGCAAGCACTGGCGGCGGTGCCGCTGCGCCGCCGTTGGGGGCGTGCAACTCGCTGAGCCACGGCTGGATGAGCTTGCGCGTGTACAGATGGCAGGGCTTTCATAAAATGCAGCCGATGGCCCAGCCATGGTTTGCTGAGCTGATGAGCACTTGCCCAGACGGCACACAGGGGGCCCCTACACCCCTGCACGAGCTTTGAGCCCACCTCCTCCATCTTCTTGATGGTTGAGGTGACGTCCAGATCTCGCCGGGGACGGACCTCCTCGCAGCGCTCCTCCTTGCGCCTCTTCCCCAAACGGGTGTTGCTGGACAGGTGCTGGTGGCCGCAGTCGCACTTGCGCTTGGCAGCTGGGAGCTCCTTTTGGCACTCCGGGCACGTGCGTTTGCCAATAGCTGGGATGCGACCGCTACCGCGGCGGCGACCGCTACCGCGGCGGCGACCGCGACCACCGCGGCGGCGGTGCATGGCACCTGATTGGGAGGTTTGATCAGGTTTGGGGCAGGACATTTGTGCACCGAACGGCGCACGGAGCAAGCCAGATCATGCGTTCAAATGACTGCACACGCCAGCTGCGTTTGCGACACTCTTGGCCCCCTGCAGCAGCTGGACGTGCCGGAATCTGGTTTAGAAACAAAGGATCATAATCCACACACCGCACTGGTCCCCATCGCTGCTGGGGCTGGTGGTGTTGGTGGCGTGGCTGCCCTCCTGATCCGAAGCGGCGCCACGGGCGATCAGGGCGCCCGCAGCTGCTCCATCCTCGCCATCGCAGTCGTCCATTGTTATGAGAGTGAGCAGTTCAAAAGCGAGTGGTCCAAGAGAGGGGGTGCGAGTTGTTGAAAGAGTGTTGCAAGGTTCGAAATGCTAACGGTAGATCACGAAGACTGTGACATCGTATCCATGTATGATAAGGATCTGCTGATGGCTGGATGGCTGTGCGATTGGCAGTGATGCATTAAATTGTTGTATTCAAAGCTTCTGGTTGTTGTTGATGCTGGCAGCAGCAGCAGCAGCAGCAGCAGCATTAGCAGCGGCAGCAGCAGCACTGCGCCTGAATGCTTTACTGGATTGTTCAGGCAAGCCAGTGACCTTCTGTACGATCCGCAGATAAACAGGTGGTTGTTCTGGTGAGCGATCAAATGAATGCGCGTGGCTTGTTCTGGTGAGCTGTCAGAATTACTCTGTGAGCCAGGGCCTGTACACATGTGGCAACCAAGTTTTGATTTGTGTCTCTTTGACATCATCCAAGCTGGTGCCAGGCCATTGGAGTGCCCGAGCTCGACCATTGTTCTCAGCCAGGCTGTGGCTGAGTCAGCCTTTTTGCGTAAGCAGCTGCATACTTTGCACCTCCTGCCCAGGTGCAAGACCGGTGAAGCTCTGGTGTTAAATCATTGCATTTCAATCATTTTGGAATTCAAACTAATTGATGTGAGTGGCAATGCTGGGGGCGTGCAGCAGCACAGTCAAAGCCAGAGACATTGGCTGCTGATCAACTCCAGGCATGGAGTTGTACAGGGGCAAAAGTTTTGAATGTGTGCAAATGACATAAAAGCTGTGCCTGTTTCATCACGCTGACGCTGCACGCGCTCAGGCACAATCACACAAGGTCACAACCACCTGGGTGCCCGCTGCGCGCAACCCACGGACGCCAATCCCCAGCTGCAGCCTAGAAGACACGCTGTATCAACAACACACTGACCACATGTAACAATCTCGAGGAGCGTCTGTTCTCAAAAGCTGTGTGAGCCGCGCGGCAGGTGAGCTTTGATCATCGCCTGGGCTCAAGGGTGGTCCTGCAGTGTCGAGCCGCTGGCGCCGCAGAATCGTTTCAGGGTGCGGGGACAACTTGTATATACAAGTGAAAAATTCACCATACCAACCAACGCGGATCAAATCTACCGCACACACTTCCCAGCAGCACTCCACATTATTCTCACCCAGGGACTCCTACCGCAGGTGATAGCCCTATCACCCACCAATCGGTTTGAACAGCGGTGCAATTGCAAATCTTGAATATCAAACGGCTCCGAACTGCCGTGTGGCCGATCTAGGATGGCCAGCGTCCCACTTGAGCTGCCCTTCGCAGCAGACCTAGCCACATTCTGGAAGTCTATACCAATAGACTTTCTTTTGGTCGGACATAGCCTGTTCTGTGCGGGCTTGGCGCCGGAATTCAAGCAGCGCTGGCTGGTGCACTACATTGTGCGTCGCCACGGCAATCGGCTCTGCCTGAATGGGCTCCTGCGCCGCGCCATGCCTGAGTCGTGGCGCGCAGCTGGCGGTGCAGTTGTTTGCGCCTGAAAACATACAACGTAGCCCAATCCAGCTCGCGGCGCTTTGCTTGTCATGCAGCGGCACACCCCCGCCTCCGTGCTCCGACTCAACAACGAGCGCGCCCCGCGCCGCTCCCTGCAGCTGACCTTCCTCTGGGGCTTTGGCGGTGGCACCATCTCTTCGCTCCTCTTCCAGGTGCGGGGCCGCGCATCAGATTCGGGACGCAGCTGCCGCACGGCCGAGCAGCGCCGCATGCTGCTTGCGGCGCTCCGCCGCCCGCGGCCGCTCGCAACAGGATTCGGCAACCAAGCGCCGGCGGCGCGCCTGCACGGCAGCGTCGGACGGCTGCGCAACGGGAGTGACCCTCTTCGCAGCCGGCAGCAGTGCAACAGCAGGCCAGCACGACAATGCGTAAGCTGTCTCTGCCTCACAATCGATCCCACACGATGCATCTCGCGGCGTCCATGCCCCGCCCCCAGGACCCCAAGCGCGCCCCCCTGGCGTTCTTCGTCAACAACGACATCGCGCTGATCTGGACCCTCTGCTGGTGGCTGGTGGCGTACAGCCCCGGAGGCTACGTTGAGAGGGCCTGCAGCCAGTGGTACGTCCTGGTGAGCCACACACCTGAGGTTCCCTGGCCGGCTGGCCGGCTGGCTGGCCTCTTTCAAAGCTTTGCCTGCGATCGGGCGTGTGGCTGGCGGTCAGCACACGCTGTTTGATGGGCGGGCAGAGGGTCCGTTCGGGGCCGTCCGGCGCGTGCTGGGGGACGGTCAAGCGGGGTGGCGGCTCGCCATTTTGGCGGTGCGGGGCGCTGCTCAGTGTGCCCCCCTCCTGGGTTGGTTTTCCCCCTCCTGGGCTGGCGAGCTCTCATTTATTTATGTATGGGACCCATTTTGATGTGTGCACTGGTGTTGACTTGGGCCGATGGAAGGGGGCCAGAGCTGCACGATTGTTGTGGTGTGAGCTGCATCCCGTGAGGGGGCAGTTTGTGGGGTGGGTGAGGACCTCGGTTTTCAAGCATTTGTTGAGTGCATGATGCAGCATGCTGACATGAACAATCTGCACGAGCAGCCAGCAGTTCTCATACCCAGGCTCCTGCAGTGGGTCGCTGGCAAACATAAACACCGCCTCCTGCCCAACGGGCACACCCGCCCTGCCGCGCCCCTGCCTTGCCTCCCTAGCGCAACACCTGTTATCCACGCTATCACGTCCCACACAAACTTCTGCGTATGCACAAACACTGACACATAAACAAACACGCGCGCCACCACAGGCCCTCACCAAGACCTGCACCAGCCTGCTCCGCGCCACCCTCATCGTCGCGCGCGTCGACCTCGCCGCCACCACCTACCCAGGCAACGTCGCCGCCCCCCTGC